GGCCAGCGAGACGGGCTGGGTAGTGCTAGCTAGGCACCCAGATACCGTGTAAGCGGGACCAACGGAACCACCGCCGTACCCGCGGTGGGGCAGCGAGGTGGAACGCAGGGACCCAACTCGGACGGCTTGTGAGCAGACCGAAGAGGGGTCTGAGTGTGCGATGCAGCACTTACCTGGTTCCACAGTTTGGCAGAGGGTGCGCGAGTAGGGCCTTTGTTGACGCTCTCGAACCGCCCACTGCTGCCTGCTGGCGACAGAGGAGGATGAGTGCGGTCCGGGGTTGAACCGTCCGGCGGGGAAAAACAAAACAAAAGATTCTCCACCCGGCCCTCCTCCGGGGGAGGGAGTGGTGCGTTCGCCATCTCCCAAGGCGCACTGCTAACAACTCTAGGCAATTGATATGCCAGTGCAGATGGGGGCCCGTCCAAACCCCCGGCACTGCGTGCCCATTGTACGTGGCCCCCCAGCCGGTGGTGGAGACATCCGTGTAAACCATAGCATGCCTGGAGACCTGTTCTAGGGGCATTCAAAAGATTCTCCACCCGGCCCTCCTCCGGGGGAGGGAGTGGTGCGTTCGCCATCTCCCAAAGAGCAGATCCCTCCATTTCACCCTCGGCGACAAGCATGCTGGGGCGCTGCGGCCGACGGGCGGGTGGAGGCAGCAGCCGCCCGCCGGGGCAGGATGTGTCGAATCGCCTCAGTCTGCTTTCTGTTCAGCCGAGAACTGCTGTGTAAAGCTCTCGACCGTGTCGCCGAAGAGGCCGGTCTGGGACACAGGGGCATTAAGGAACCGAACCTTGTCGGCTTCCCTCATATCGGCCAGACACAGCCAGAGATGGCGCTCCTGGACCACAAGCGTGGGCAAAGCTCTCGACTGCGTCGCCGAAGAGGCCGGTCTGGGACACAGGGGAATTGAGGAACCGAACCTTGTTGGTGTCCCTCATGTCTGCCAGACACAGCCAGAGATGGCGCTCCTGGACCACAAGCGTGGACATCGCACGACCCAGAGAACCCGCGGTGACCTTTGTCACTCAGAGTGCAAAGTCAGTGGCGGTTCGGAGCTCTTTCAGAACTTCCGGATCGTGACCACCTTCGTGCAGGTCCTTCAGTGCATTGGCCTGGTGCACCTGCAGTAACGCTATAGCGTGTAAGGTGGAAGCAGCTTCCCCGCAAGCCATATAAGCACCGCCGGTCAGACCAGACGAATGCCTACAGGCCCGGGAAGGGAGCAACGGGTCTCCCCGCCAGGAGGAGGCTGTCTTAGGACACAACTGCATCGCTACCGACCACTCCACTGGGGGGATTGGCAAATACCCCTTTCGCTGCACCACCGTCGAGGGTGGAGAGGGAGGAGGAGCTAGAAGGTCGGTTTCTGGCAGTAAAAGGTGCCGTCCACGACCTGGTAAGCTCATCATGCACTTCCGGGAAGAAAGGCACCGGGGCGGGGCGCTGAGAACCAGCGCGAG